TTCAACTCTAGCCATCCAGGCACCTCTACATAGTGCTCTATAACTGCTCACACATATAGTCTTCCTCCCAGTTGTTAGGTACCCTTCTGTGCATAGTACAGGGCACATCTATCATTGCATTTATCACATTATCCTATTAAATTAATTGTGATTGTTTCTGTTTCCCCTACCAGTCTATGAGCATCTTGGTCATCTTTGCATTCACAAAATCAAGCTCATTTTTCTGATTAAAGGATACAACTTGGGCCACCACATTGGTAGTGTTCAAAAAATGTTTAACAGTAAGTTTATACGCTTTTCATTAATGGCTGGTAAGTGCACCAGAAACTTCCCTGATGGGCTAGGGCTAGTTAAGAAATCTAGGTTTCCTAATCTTAGGTGGGCTCTGGGAGTTTTATTAGATTGTGATTAATAAAAATCTAACAGCAGGGAATACCTGGAAAGAGCCCTAAAAAAAACCCTTATTGGGATAACTTCAACTCCAGCCAATTTTTCTTCTCTCAGAGATGACTGCTATGAATCTTGGTCTGGAAAGGACATGGCTTGATTTAATACAATTTACCCTTGAGGCAGAACAGCAAAGAAAGGATTCTACTAATTTAATTATAGTCTCAGGGTGCTTCTCCCTGATAATCTAAAGGGAGGTTTGGCCCAGAGAAGCACACTTGGAGGCCCATTTACAGTTAAAGATCTCTTCCTACTTGCTTCTCTGACTATTGGAGGCATAGACAGATTGCTATGAGGCTTTAGTTCTTTACTCATAGCTATTAGTTGAATTATACTACAAGAAAATAAAAACATTGTTCCAGAAATTTTGCTTAACTTTCTCTGGAGCAAGTTTTATATATTGTTCCTAAGAATAACTTGTATCTTGTTTAATCACTACTAGTCTCATCAGAATTGCCTAGCTAATTTTTCTGATCAAGGTATACAACTGGGACAGCACAGAACACCTGCTTTTAGAATTATAGGAAAGGTTTGGGCAAAACTAAGTGGAAAAAAGAGGGCTCCCATCCCTTCCTCTCTTTTAGGACAGGGACGACCCACACAGCTGTTCTGTGTTGTCACTTCTCACTAATCATTCAAAAATGAAAGATAAAAGAGAGAAAAAATTTCTGATAATATATTAATCATTAAAAAAGCAAGAAATCTAAACATTAAACAGAGAGCTATAGCAAAAACACAATCTAAGCAAACTGGGAAAACCACCAGAAAGGGCTCTGCAAGACATTTTGTCTAAATGTTAAATAAGTAAAAAACATTAAAATATGTCTTGCCTGGCAAGTCTGAGGTCTGATGCTGAGCAAGCTTCTTAGCAGAAGAATAGGAAGTGAAGATTAAGGCCCCTATAAAAATAACCTAGGTTAGAAATGTGGAGGTTAGAAATCTTTAACTTGCAGCTCCAGAAGAAACACTCACATTATTTACTCCTGTCTTTGGCCCCAAAGAGAAAAAGGCTTTAGGCTCCTCCCCCATCTGCCCTCATCCCTAAGAGTCAGATGCATTGAGCACCTAGATTCTAGTCAGAGAACCTTTGTAAATTTCATATCTGAAGTACTTAGGCTCATTACATATACAAAATCTTAACTGAAAATACTTTGGTCAAGAGATTTTAATTTTTTATTGAACTCTAGAGGGTCTAAAAGACAAAAAAGACAAAACTGTAACAATTGGATTAAATGATGATTTAAAGTGGTTTATTTTTTTTAATTAATTAATTATTTGGCTGCGTTGGGTCTTCATTGCTGCGGGTGGGCTTTCTCTAGGTGCGGCAAGCATGGGCTACTCTTCGTTGCGGTGCGCGGGCTTCTCATTGCAGTGGTTTCTCTTGCTATGGAGCATGGGCTCTAGGCACGTGGGCTTCAGTAGTTGTGGCATGCAGGCTCAGTAGTTGTGGCTCGTTAAAGTGGTTTATTTTGATATGGCTGCAAACATCTCACGAGTTCTATGTCTCCAACTAATCAGTTTAATATTTCTCCTTTGCCTGCTTCCAAAAAGAATCCAAGTCTCCTTCCAAAGAATCAGTTTGGCTTTTATATCCAGACTGTTGAAGTATGTGTCACATATCATTTAGTGCAATGTTTTGATATGTAGTTTATGATAACATACCTTTTCCCCTAATCTTTGAGATTTGTTCATTAAGAGAAGGCAAAACTAAGAGGTTGAAGTTTGTATGTAATAACACTATACTAACAAAAATGGGGCAAGACATTAACACTGTGAATAATAGGCAAAAAAATATAAAAGCTAGTTTATTTGAAAAGTTGTGGAAAGAAAAATGCAGGATTTAGCTGAGGCATTTGGAGTTAAGAATAAAAGAGTGAACCCAAAGATGATTTAATCATTTTATTTTTCTTCTCCCCAAATCAAGACTATCTGAGTGAAGTCAGCTGTGTTCTTAACAAACTAAGTGAAATAATTAATGCCTATTATGCTGTCAAAATCTAAGGCAAATTTTTGATGTTTTGTAGGGGAAACCTCAGGAAGGACGACTTGGGAAAAATACCTAAGGCCTTGGTGAACGCTATTAGACAGTATAACCCCACACTCACATTTTGGCTAAGTCATTCCTAGTTTTTACAATTACTTTTGTAATAGTTATCTCAGGTGATTATATTAAATAAATTCCTTACTGTAACATATATAAGAGGAGAACATGTACAACTTAATTCTGTGATGTAATTCTCAAAATCCTCTTTCTCTAGGACCTTTTATTCCATCTTCTTTGGTACTGGTTTTTCATGAAATACGTATCTTTTATTTTTACTGCATCCTGGTGTTCGGCATTTGTTTTGATACTCCATTCATTATGCAAACAATATCTCACTTTAAGCTTGCTTACAATATGATGTAGTCTGGTTGCTTGTCATACAAGCACAGTCAGGATATACTGTTTGGTGTTTCAGCCAAATTTCTTCACTTCCTATATTCTCACAGTTGGTACCGTGCAGGAACACTCACGGTGACTCTTAGCCTCCTTTGTAGTTAACTTTCTGATGAGACATATTCAGTTAACATTCAATAGACCTTCCCCTTCCAAAGTACTGTTCAGTTTGGAACACTGATACAAACCGTTTTACTAGTTTTAAAAGTCATATTCTGGAATCACCTTAACTTGGTACTACAATCATGCGTCATGAGCTCAGACAAATTACTTAACATCTGTAAGCTTTATTCATTAATTTATTCAACATTTATTGAACTATGTGTAATAGGCTCTGGGGATAGGAAGTAAATGTGATAGCCAAGAGTTTCTCATCTGTAAAACGTGGCTAATGATAGAGCTGTTTTGAGGATAAAATATATGTAAAGTACTTAGCACAGTGCTCAGTAAATGTTCATTGTTATTATTAGCAGTATTATTTTGATCAAATTACTTTTAACATCTCCCTGTGACTGTAACCTCTAATGATTCACAATGCATCCATTCCATTACGTTTCTGAACATAAAGCTACTCCATAAAGTACTGATGCTGGAAATGATCTTTTCCAGAAATATTGATGCAATGTTCCGAGAACACTGGAATGTAGGCACTCCAAAATACAATACCTTTCACACCTGGTCAGCCAAGAAAAAAACTGTAAATCACAACCACGGTCTGGATTATGAAAGGAAAGTGCTATACCTGTACCGTCTGAGTGTAGACTTGTCTAGATAATCTACATTTCTTTCCAAATTCCCTCATATACTTTTTTTTTTTGGTGGTACGCGGGCCTCTCACTGTTTTGGCCTCTCCCGTTGCGGAGCACAGGCTCCGGACGCGCAGGCTCAGCGGCCATGGCTCACGGGCCCAGTCACTCCGCGGCATGTGGGATCCTCCCGGACCGGGGCACGAATCCGTGTCCCCTGCATCGGCAGGCGGACTCTCAACCACTGCGCCACCAGGGAAGCCCTCTCATATACTTTTAAGTTTGTATTATTAGAAAAATAAATAACAAGCCTACAGACAGGCCATCTTAAGTTTTACTTGTGTATCACTAGCCTGAAAAGATCAAAAATATTTTTACTGTGGTTTCAGCTCTTTGTGGCGGGGGAGGGGGCAGGTGGGGGTGATGTCAACTCATGTTAGTTGAGAAAAGTGGCAGCTCTGCATCTCATGCAATTGAACTAGAGAAAATGGGTTACTGCAAGAACTGGCAAAACCTATTGCCATTATTGCAATGGTTATAGAAATAAAATGAGTTTCTCTTTTACTCAGTGGAACTATTTAAGAATGACAAAGAGAAAACACCTACAACGGTGGCAGAGACTTTGCGTCCAAACGTTCTAGTATGAATTATTTGTCGTTTAAGTCGAGCCTCATTAGGTAAACTGTTTTACTAAGGACTGCACAGGAGCCTGTGTAAGATTTCGGAAGAACAGGAGTTTTGAAGAACCATGTTGTTTACACTCTGTCACTCATTTTCAAGCCCAGTGTTACCATTCAGTTCTTACACAAGAATATCTGAAAACAAAAGGACATCCTCTAAAATGGGTACTGGGTGCTCTGAGCGTCGGAGGAGTTGGCCGAAAACCAGACACCAAGCCCTTCAAAGGCACGTGGGGCCGAACCTCCCTCGGAATCGCCACGGCCGGCGCTCGAAGGCTCCAGGCTCCGCGCCTGACTTCCCAGGGCCGGTGCAGCACCGGGGGCGGTCCGACAGCACCGGCCCTCCTGCCTCGTCATCGCTGCGTTTCTGGCTGGCGGAGCCCGGTCCCCGTCCGCGGCATTCCACGCCTCCGTCTCCGCGGGCGTACGCGGGGCTGGGGAATCACCTCGGGAGCCCACTCAGCAGCGGGGAGGGCGGGAGCGAGGAAAGCCCGGGCTCCCGCTGTAACCCCCGAACTCAGCGGCGTCCCCCACCCCTCGGCGGCGGGGCCGCAGGTACCTCCTCAGCCGCCTCAGCATTCGGCGCTCAACTGGTGGGCAGCCCGTCCCGCCGCCGCCACGTCCACTCAGAGGCCCTTCGGAGCCGCGCTCCCGCCGCCGGCACCTGACTGACTGACTGACTGACTGGCTGACCGACCGACCCGAGGTTGGAACCCGGGCCGCCACCACCGCCGCCGTCGCCGCGCACGCGCTCCTCGCCCGCCTCCGTCCCGGGGCGGCCCGCGGGGCGGGAACGCGACGCTACGAGCCGCCCGCACCTGCCTGACTGACAGGCGGACCCCGGGATCGGGCCTCGTGCCGGCGCGCGCACGCGCACGCGCCTGGCGCGGCTGCCGTCGGCCCCGGGGGCGGGACCGCGCGGCAGCGAGCGGGCGGGGGGCTCGTGGTGCGCGCGCCCCGCACCCGAGGGCTGCGGAGAGATATTTTGGGTGGCAGGAGGCCCCTCGTCATTTCCGCCGGGCTGCTGGTCGTGCCGGGGGCTTCACTCTCGCGCACGAGGCGAACGGGCAAGTTGGCTGCGGGCGTGTGGCGGCAGCTCCTTCCATTAGCGCTGCGACCCTCGGCAGTGCAAGCCATGAAGTGAAGCCCCGGAGGGACGGAGACCCGAGCGGAGTTGCGGAGCCACGGCAGCAGCCGCCGCCTCAGCGGGGAGCGAGCAGACCCGGCGCGGAGCCGCGACCCCGGCGCCTTTCCCTCCCCGTCACCGCTCCCACCGCTGCAGCCGCGAGACTCAACACACAAAAGCCGCTTTCTCCGCGCCGCCCGCCCAGCGAGGCAGCAGCCAGCGAGGGACCCCACCTGAGGGCGGCTCGGGCTGCTGAGTTCGTTTTGTGTCTGAGCTCCGAGCTCCGCGCCCCGCGCGGAACCGACCCTGTGCTCATGGCTCTGATCATGGAACCGGTGAGCAAATGGTCTCCGAGTCAAGTAGTGGACTGGATGAAAGGTAATGCCCGCTGTGCGGAGGGCGAGGCGGCCCTGGGGCTCGTGGTCCCGGCGCACGGGAGGGAAGGGGCGCCCGCCGCGGCCGAGCCCGCCATCGGGGCTGCAGCCAGCTGATCGTGGGGCGCCGAGGGCAGCGGGGGACCTCCAGGGCTGACTGGGGCTCGGGATCCTGGTCTCCTATTGTCTCCAGCCAGTGGCTTCCCATCCGGAGAGGGGCGCGGAGAGCGCGGGGGTGGCCGGGGCGACCCGATGGGAGGCTGGGAGCCGGACGGCGGAATCCCTGTCAGTCTTTCCGGCTCCTAGCTCCCCTTGGTGCCCCCAGGCCGGGAGGACGTGCCGACCCTGCCTTCTCCCCTCAGGGAGGAGCCCCCAGGGACGGTCGCCCGTTCCCCGGCCCCTTTGTTCCTGGGAATCCTGACGCCCCCTTGGCGGCCGCCCCTGCCAAGTGCCTTTTCTTGCGCCAACTCTCCCTGCAACTTTTAAGCCCACGTAATGGTGTCAGGTCGCGGCCGCCGGGGTTTGGATCCGGAGAGCTCCCCCTCTTCCCCAGGTTGGGATGAGGATGCTCGGGGGATGCGCTGCTTTGGGGGAGAGGAAAACATGCTTCCCCTGGGACAGCATCTGCGCTGGTATCTATGGTTCCCTCCTGTGCATCCCCCCGCGTCCTTTGCCTCCTCCTCTTCTGGCGGCTTGAGGCTTTGAATCTTAAGGCTTTTTACTGGGGGCTCGACCCCAGGTGTAAAGTGATGCACATTCAAGTGTCCCCTCATTTATTCCATCTTGAAGACTCTCCCCTTTTTTCCCCTGGGCAATTTCTAATAACCATACTTAAAGACATTCGCCCTCTTAATCTCAAACGTGGGCTTTTTCTCTGTCCCTGGGCTTTCCTGCCTCACTATCTCCCTCTGTTGTCTGTTGTCTGAGTTAGAGGACCCTCTCCTCACGACCACCGCGCCCCCTCCCATCCCCAAGATTCCTAAGATTTGGGGAATGCTGACAGGGGATGGAGGGGATGGACAAAAAAGGATTCCTCGCCACACTTGGGAGATGTTAAGAGTTTTGCTTGTGGTTATTCCTAGGCACAAACTCTGGGTAGATTAGTCAGGGCCCAAAGGCTTATCATTTGCAAATGCAGTTTCAAAGATGAGGGAGCCCCTTCTTAGGGCTTGCTTAGCAGTCAGACTTTCTAAGCTCCAGGTACTTTAGAACGAAAGTAGCGTGATTGGAAGTGATTGAGAGCAACAGAGGGAAACTCAATTTTTTTTCTTTTTCCCCCGAGCCTTTTCAGCCTCTTGCTTGTCTTGTGGATTTTCCTTTATCCATTTGCTTTCCTTTTATTCCCTTACTTGCCCCTTTATTCTTCATTTATTTCGTTTTTCTTTTCTAATATGTGGAAAGTGCTTTGTAACTGCAAAGCGCAGTACAAATGAGAGTGTACTGAATTAAATCGAATTCATTATTTATCGACTGCCCCCGTGTGCGGTGCATTGTGCTAAGGTGCCATGGGTGCCATGACTAAGACAAAGTCCTGCAGTGGCTCATTATTTTTTTCTGTTTCTTCTTCTGTTTTCATATTGCTATTGAAATTCTGCTCTCCTAGATTCCCACCAATTTTCCCCCCCTTTGGATTGTCAGATGCAGACAAACATCTAACTTCTGTGTTTCTCAGTCATGGAAGAAAGAGCCAGAGCACATGCGAAAAGCAAGACTGCTTAATTAAAACCCTTTCTTTGAATTTGCCTAAAAGATTACTTCAATTTGAGTCTTGTTACTGAAATACTCAAAGAAAAGCTATCTTGGCTCCTTGGGAGTCAGATTACCTTCAGAGGCTACCTCTCACAAATTCCCATGATGCTTGTAGTGAGTGCTGCATACTCCATCTTCTTCACCTCCCACCCTCCCAGTACATTCTTGCACTTTCCCCACTCTCTACACTTTAGGTCCACTGAAGCATGTAGAACATATGATGTACATATTCTGACACACATTTTTAGTTTCTCAGTACACTAGTCCTTTAAAAATCTCTCCAGCCTAAAATGCAGCTTCTTTGGAGTTGGGCTTACATCATTAGCTGTGATTTTAAGTGATTGTTATATTTAAGTTGAATAACTTATTTTCATACCTGTTGGTGATGCATCTTAGAGCTATTTGAGAAGACAGAATTTGTGTATCTTTGTATACATTAGACTGGAAGAGAATAACTGATGTCATTATCTGTATATTTCAAGTCCCAAACTGCTTACTGCTGAAATTTCCATAATCTTCATATAAATTTGATTTGAGATATTATCAGAAAGTAAGGTTTAAAAAAATACTAAGATGAAACAAACATTTCCTCAAATTAATTAACTTAATTAATAGTGTACGTTTCATTTTTACACTATTAGCTTAATTAATCCCCCCCACCCTTTTCCCCAAATAAACTTTACAAAATACACTTAAAAAATACTTTTCACCCTTTCTTCAGATGCACTAATATTTAAAAGTCAATTAATTTAGGCTGTAGCTTTGGAATGGCCAAACCTCATTTAGTGTTGTATAATGTATAGTGTTATAAAGGCAGTACCAAAGGATGAACAGGACTTTTGAACAACTGCAGCATTGTGGGAGTTCTTTAAAACATGCTCCTAATGTGACAGTTTCATCATCCTTAACATTTAAGACATATATATGGCATATGCTTTCACCTAGTCACAATCGTAGATAGTTATAACTCTCTTTAGTAAGGTATATGCTTTATGCTCTTTCTAGGGTATTTTTTTCCTTCACTAAACAGAAAAGGAACCATTAAGCATATAAGAATAGCATGGCCATATGTTTAATGCTTCCAGACAATTTATAGAAGTGCATTAGAAACTCAGTCAGCAGAGAGGGAAATGAAGGGAAAAACCCCTGGCTGACAAGATTATTAAACTTTGGTAGAATATATTCAAGATTAATTATGAAGGACCATATATACACTGCAATTCACTTTAACTTATTACGTTTTATTAAAATATATTTGAGGGACACGTAAGTATTAAATTTATGTTAATTATTATTAAAAAACGCTATGAGGAAATACTTCCTATTGTTTTGCTCACCCCCAACTCCACTATTTGTGAAATCCAATACTCATTGAATTTTCTCCTGACAATAGAAATTTGATGTGACACAGTGTCAATGTTAGTTCCAGTAAATATATGAACTCCTCATGAGTCAGTAGAATAAGGATTTATATCCCACATTATCCTGATAGTACTTCAGGCTATTTGGAAACGTCTCATAGCCTTCAAAATTAATTTTAAAAATTAATTTTATAAAAATATTTTTTGAGAAAATCAAATACTCATCATTTAGTGCTTGCAACTAACCTTTTTCAGTTGGAAATTACATTCAGTCCTCCTGTAGTTTTGACAAAATTTTAAAACATAAACCTTTTTACAGTGAATAAAAGCAAAGCAGTTATTGGGAAAAGCTATAGGTAGAAAAGTAGGCCAATAACTGTTTCTAATTTTTGCTCAGTCTGTTACTCTAAAATACATTATTTCTCAGCTCCTGTCTGTTCACTTGCAGGGCCTGGAAATATTTCATAATCTGCAGTTGCTTGAGTCTACTTTTTTTGCCTTCTGAAATATAACAAAAACCTTTGAACACGTTTGGGCCCCTATTATTAATTTTATCATTAATTTTCCTTGTCCATGTCACACCCAATAATTCCAGTTTTTTTCTCACACCTTTTCTGCCTTTTGAAGTTCTTTCAAAATATCCAGATGACTAAGATTAAGTTATTTTCCGGGGCCAGCTCCCTTTCTGACATTTTTTCCAGTGATCTTTTAATCCCTTTCTGGATCAAATAAAATGGATGATTGTTTTCAGAGTCAACGGACAGGCCCCGCTTTGCTGATCTTCTCTTATGGTCTCTGTGACTTAGCTCCATGCACTCTTACGTTATTATGATTCCTAAAATCATCTAAATTTTTAAGATAGCCTCTGAAGCCATCCCACAATTAACTGCTCTGGTCTTTCCTGTTTACTATAAACCATTTTCTTTAAGAAGCATTCACTGACTTCTAATTTCTGTCCTGATGACTCAGCCTTCTTGAGGACAGAAAATGAAATACATTATTTTAGGTATTAAAAAACAAAGATAAAGCCAACGTTTTGCATACAACCCTAAAAAGAGGAAAATGCAGTGATGAAATAAGGTCTATTTAGTGTAAAAGTTTACATGCTCTAAAGGAAAATGTGTCCGATAACGGAAAGCAGTTTTGACAGGTACAATGCCCTTTAGTAATTTTTTTCCCCCTCATAGGACCCAGAGCTGAAGTTGAAATTTATCTTAATCAGGTGAAGGAAAATGTCAAAATTTTGAGTTAAACTGTTTTGAGAGAGAGATCAGAAATAATTTTGTGGCAGGAACTTGAGAAGTATACACCGTAAGGGAAAAAAAATATGCTAAATGTTTAAATTGGTGCTATTACCTCTTTTTGAAAAATTAGGTTTTTTCTCAATTGCAGCGTGACTAGATAGTAACCAACAATCACCTGCTTTGGATTTGACATTTTTGGAACAGGAATTCTTGTCATTTTATACAAAGAGGAAATTTACCTTTTTGATATGTAGAGTTTAGTTCACAAGAAACGTTTTGTTTGTAGTGTCATTAACATTTGCTCCTTAAGGTAACACACATGATGTAGTGCATAGTAGGAAAAAAAAGAGTATATTTATGTAGATGTATTCTAGTTCTTAGATATTTACTTAGTACTTCAGCATGGAAGGTGCTTTGATGGATGAATTTAAATAATTCCCTGCTTTGGAGAAATTAGTCTCTGTAAGGGTTGGCAGTGACATTGGCAAACCTATGCCAAGACAGAGACAGGTACCAACTAGTACATTTGGTAAATTTTAAGAGTTTGCATATGTATACAAGCACCAATGGAAAGAGAAGATGATGATTTTAGTAAGTCAGGAAGGAATCCATGGGGAAGGTTTGAGCAACTGTTTAAGCAGTTTATTTAA